CCAACTTTCCGCTACAGGCGAGAGCGTTGCAACCCTCTCGCTCTGACTCAATGGCGCCATGTCGTCTCCCCTTTCTCCGGAAACCGCGCAGCTAGGTTCGGCGACGGGCCGCTCGCGTGACTGCTCACATGACTCATGCGGAAACTTTCCTTTCTGGGGTTCCGTCGACCCGCCGACAAGGTTACTTGAGAGTTCACCGCATGGAACCAAGTCAAGCTTCCGCGAAAGCTTTTGCGCTTGCGATCGCGTGAGAGCCATGCACGCTAAGTTGGGGAAGAACGATTTGCCCTGCTCTTTGAGAAGCTGCTCCGAGTTGTTGGAGAAAAGATAAGAAAAACGATCATTTAGCGCGGCAGACACAGCCGCTTCGGTGCGAAGCTCACCGAACGGGCCTTTAATGACAACCTTTGCGATTGGTAAGCGAACACTCTGCTCCTCGGCGACCTGCCTGATCCACGCGCATTCTCCTGTGAAGTCATCCGGAGACACCAATGAAGGATGGACAACGTCCATGGTTGCCGCTGAGTCTCTAAGTGCTCGGCACGTTTTCTTATTCACCCTAATTTCTTGGAGATACGGCTCCAACAACCGAATGTTTTTTTCCGATTCTCGGATCGTTGCGAAGGCAAACTTTTCCTGACAGTTTCTAGCGATGTGCCCTTCCTTTTTACAGTTGTAGCAGATTAGCGGCTTCCGTTTGTTTTCCGATTCAAATGCCTGTGTGGTAGAAACCTCACTCGATTTCTCCACTTCTGTTTGCCCTTCCCCTACACTGTCCTTCGTAAGAGACGGGTCCTTTTTGAAATTACGGTGCGGAACGGGTTTCCGTTGATCAGGTTTCCTTGAAAAGCCCTCTTTCTTTTCATCCTTTTCAACGCGCGCTGCCCTGCTATGCAACTTTCGGCGAGTATAATACTCCTCAGCTAACTCAGCTGCCTTGTTTAACTGTACGTCCACAAGTCTGTCCTGCAGCCAAAGTTTGACATCCTCCTCGATGCAGCGGTAGAATTGCTCCAGTGCAACGCATTCCACCACTTTATCGCGGTCGTCATAAACACCTTCGCCCTTGAGCCATTCAATCAAATCGGCTTTAAGACGAAACGCGAAGTCAACGTGTGACTCATTCCCCTTTCTAGCATACCGGAACCTTTGCCTTAAAGCCTCGGGTGACAACTTATAACGTCTCAAGAGCACTTCCTTAACCTCGTCATAGCTCTCAAACGCTTCCCTCGACAAGCAAGTTATCGCGTCGGACACTTCGCCGGGAAGAAGAGCTAGCAGGTTCCGCGCCCAAAGAGACTGCTCCAAAGCATTTCGCTCACAGACGTGTTCAAACTTGACGAGATACTTCGCCATGTCCTCGCCTACTACGAACGGTGGCAGTTGGTCCCGGATTCTAAAACCGCTGACCTGAATCGTCGGAGAAGCTACGCTAGGCGCCTGCGAACACTGTAGGATTGCCAATTCTAGTCGTTTCATCTCAAGGCGCTCCTGTCTCTCGGCCTCCTCGCGACGTTCGCGCCTTTCAGCTTGTTCACGTTCGCGAGCTTCGCGCCTTTCAGCTTCTTCGCGAGCTTCGCGCCTTTCAGCTTCTTCACGTTCGCGAGCTTCGCGCCTTTCAGCTTCTTTGCGAGCTTCGCGCCTTTCAGCTTCTTCGCGAGCTTCTACTTCTCGCCTTTCAGCCTCCTCACGGCGTGCTTTAATATCCACCCAGGCCTCATCGACTTCCTCAGCCGACACTCCCTCATCCTTCATGATCTCAAGGATCGCTTGCTTTCGTTTCGCACGGCCCAAAGTAATGCCGAGTTCCTCACAAATTTCGATGAGTTCCTTCACTTTAAGGTTCTCCATCGTTCACACTAGCCTCTTTCTGTTTGCCCCTGTTAACAATTTACTTGCCGTACCCACTATGAGTCAACTAGCAAGACGCGCAAGCAATTTTTCACTCTCCCGTGTTTACCCCCTCCGCATTAACTTTGGTTTCAAAGCACTTCGACTTTGCTTGAAACGATCAAAGCTCACTCTAATGCTTCACACAGCCCTTCTCTAAACTACTACAACCTGAGCTAGAGCAGTCTGGTGAACTGAGGGGAAAACATCAGGCACTCACCGCATCGATGTCGCTGACGCCGGCCGATCCCGCAGCTACCAACCACTGTTGCAAAGCCACCTCCGAAATCCCGCCGCTGACCTCCACTGTGGCGAACGACGGGGACGCCAACACGGCCTCGGAGGCGCCACTGCTTTCAACTCCGCCGGGAAGGTCCCAGCCGTTGGTAGCGTATGTATCTCGCTCGCGACTGCTTCTGCGCCGAGCTGATAAAACGAGCGGACGAGACACGGTGAGTTAAACAAGGTTTATGTACAGCCATATATACAGATGCGTTACAATTTCGGCACTGGGGCCGACAGAGACTCGAAGAGCCGAGTTCTCCTCTCTAACACATAGGTCAACTTTTCGCCTAAGACCGCTGACCATCACCACATGTCGGCTCTCCGACATGGGGACTCCTCTCTCAGGACCGCCGAGCGCGACGCGCCGCAGGGCTTCTTTTATTCACCGGGTCCAACCAAATGGTCCAATCAGAACGCCGCTGGTCGTCAGGGCAGATTCCGCCAATGGGTGCTCGCGCCATGCGAAAAGAAGCAACCTTCCAAGAAAGGGGCAGCGCAGCACCAGCCGCGTGGAGGAATGCCACCACCCCCGATGTCCCCGTCAAGCCACGCGGAGAATGCTCACCACGCAGCGCTGTTTTCGCCTGCTCCGAAAGCCAATAGTAATGCCGCAGCTCGCAAAGTAACCGCCAAGAAAAAGGGGCAGCCAGGATTGAGCAAAGGAACTGCTCGTGACCGCAGCGGGTTTTTAGCGCTATATAGTGGTCTTTGTGAAGTGGTAAGTTCCAGTGTAAATATCTCGAACTTCGTGGCTAAATCTGCGTAATATTTGTGCTGAGAGTTTGTTTTAATGCAGCATTGGATGATATAGTTTACTATTGAGCATTGCGTGTGCGAGAATAGATTACCAATATAGTATACCCCTAAGCTGTCATTAAGCCCTGAGTAAGAATGCATTTACATCTTTAAATCACTGCAACTTCTTTCTACTGAGGCTTGTGGTTCGGCTTTAAGCTATCCGCAAGCATACAAAAACTAAAGGTGAACCAACGCTGCGAAATTTGCGCTGTTTGCATGATAGTAACGTGAACTGTATATCAGGTTAGTAGCCCGGTAGGGGGAAAGGGGGACTAGGGGCAAACACGTGTTTTGTAACAAATACATTAAAAAAGAATAGCATCAAAGCCTTCAACACGTGCCCTCTGTACCTTCCCCCGAAAAAAAAACCTCGTGGCTATGAGGCTGCCTTATATTCTGGAAATATTGTATGCAGCATAGTGCTAAATGTTTTGAGGTCTGTCTGGACTTATAGCGATTTGTTTATTGTACGCAATTCTATTTACTTGCCTTAGTTCCTTCAAATGAATACTATAATTGACGCACTCACGCTTACCCTGGCTTTATTATCTGTCATTTTTTGTTTTGACTAGAAAACAGCTCCATCGGACCATTTGAAACATTAGGCAGTGGCTGTTAGCCAGTAGCAATCCGCTACTGTGACAAAAAGAGTGTTTAAAAGGCTTTCTATTTTTTCCGTGAGAACATTGGCTCACAAAAGCAAATTTTTATTTCCTCTAATTGGTGTTTTTATTGCACGTAACGGGGCCCAGGGTGGTACGCAAATTCAGTCAGCCTTTCGAACAACTGGTTAAATATGCTTGCGACATAAACTCTTTGCCTAGTATTTGCAATTATTTATACAAACGCAATTCCTAGCAATTAGCGAGTGCCTAGTATTCGTAATTGCTTATTCTTTATGCTACCTCAATCGGTGCGTTTCTGGGCTATTTGTTCCCACATTTGCTTATGCGTGAACATTTGCTCTTTCGCAATCCATGAAAATTTAGCAACTCTTTCATTTATAGTAATTGCTCTTGGATACAAAGTGTTGCACATGTTCATTAACTGTTTAGCGTATTTGTTGTGTAAGTCACTGTTGTTATAATTATTTTATGTGGAAGTGTATTACGACTACAGTATTCTCAAATAGCCTAATTTCTCATAATATTCGCTAGCAAACGTATATAAAGAAAATAGTCACTACGAAGTTTAGAAGCAAGCTTAGTATACCATTCAATAGACGTCGGAGGCCAAACATAGTTTTGAACATGCTGAGATCATCACCAACGCCTGTCAGTATTTGGGGCTTCTGACAACACGTGATCCAAACATAATAGCTCAGCATGTGGCGTAGAGTCAACAATTATTACTCAACGTCAGATAGATGCCTCTTATTTCTACAAAGAATTAAATACGCTGAAAGTTTTGTGACATATACCTACGTCCACGGCAGTTGGCTGATATGAGGGTTTGGGCACACGTTAAAGAACCCCAGGTGGTCGAAGTTTCCGGAGCCAGTCACTATGGCGTCTTTCATAATCATATGATGGTTTTGGGACGTGAAACCCCACATATCAATCAATCATGGCTGGTATGTGCATCTTAAACTGCGTAGTTACTGCGCCCGCCGTGAGATGCCGCATCATGCCTACGCAAGTTGTTGCTATCACATCGCAAATAAACTGCTATTCCCTCCCCCCCCCCCCCCCCCAGTGATTCGTATGGTGTTTTGCGCTAGTATTGAGATATTGAGTTATTTTCATAATTGTTGCGGTGCGGTTTAGCTATAATGCGGACAACATGCTAACTTGTTTGCGCACTAAACAGAAACTGTACACTTCAGCTTCATTTTTTTTGTGTGTGTAGGGAACATCGGCTTCACAACCTACTGGTTACACGATGTCGCCCCTTTCGACCGAGCACGAGGAGCCCGACCGTGCTATAGACGAGGGCGACAGGCTGCGGCCACTGGTAACTGCGCCTCCCCTTCCACCACGGGAGAGCCAGAACATCCCTGTAGAAAAAGCCAGAAGCCCCAAACTCACCGCCCGAAAAGGCATCCACGATGTCGCCGCTTCGAAGGATAGAGCTGCGTCGCGGCGAGCCGACACGACGAGGGCTGTAACTTCGGCGCAGCTTCCCGAAACACCCTCTACGGACGGTCCGATATCCCTGGCTACTCCGGGAGTCCCTGCTTTAGAGGTGGCAGCCACAGTCAATCGCGCCGGTCAAGCCAAAGGCCTTGAAGCAGGCAAACGGAAAGGTAGAGGAAAATCAAGATCACCTCCCGACAATCGACGACTCAGCGAAGCCAAGATTCTATGAGTCACTGGATAGGACGCCTCTTCAGACCTACCTCTAATAGCAAGAAGGCCGCATTGATGGCACCCATCAGCACTCAAAAAATCGTTTAAGGAGACAGTTATAGTGGTTTCCCAGACGACCACGCATATGATGTCGCGGATTATTTTACGGACAATCACGTTACCACTAACAATGTGTGATAGCTGATAAGTCACTACCATGTTACGCAGCATTATCATGAACATACTTGTAATTCGTATTTTTCTATCAGTAATAATTATGGTCACGAATGTTTGGTTGTTTATTACATTCTTTTCGCCAGTCCTCCACTACGGCGTCTCTCATAATCATATGGTGGTTTTGGGACGTTTAAACCCCACAAATCAATCAATCAACCAGATGCAGGATCTTTTGCTACAGAGTGTTGCGCTTTGATAAATGTTATGACAGGGAACACACTTAGTCTAGTTACTGCAACGCCATTGACCTAACTGCTGGGCAGCATGCTTTACCTTCTTACGCTGCAATATGAAACTGCACCTTGACCTTGGCATTCGCACCACGGTCATGTAGAAAAGTTCGCTTTTGTTCACAAAAAAAAACCCTAACTATTTCTTTATTTCTTCTCAAAAATAGCCCGTGCCAAAACGCGTAACAAAAACAATATTGGCTGAAGGAAGACATACAGAGTGAGTATTGTGCCCTTATACGCAGGCCCCCCAACGTGGATGTTGGGTATATTATACTATATACAGATACTGCTGCTTGAAACTTTTATGAAAATAGAACTCTCACCGGAGTGACAATGGACAAGAAATCGCGTCAAGATACTGCAAATAATATAGCGTGATGGAAGAGGAAAATAATTAAGAGGCGTCACGCAATGCTTATTGAACAACGAGCGCGTGCTTTAAAGCTTGCCATCCTCTCCACAATCTGCGCAATCTTCATAATTAATCAGTGATAGCATGAACAATGTGCACGTAATGACTTACAGATGTAAACTTACAGATGGTGTAACTTACAGACGTGAACTTCAGCTGTCCACGCAATGACGAGTGCTTCCGTCATTGTGCGTGGTTCCTTTATTGACAGAATTCTGGCAATTTGTTGCGTAGTTCGTCGCTTACAAGTGTATTTGTAGTACAATAGTTTCCCCTAGACGAACAGTCGGCAACCGTTCGACAAAGAGGACCAAGTTGCGAAGCCAGCAAATTGGAGGCCGCATGGCAGAGAGAATAAGGGGGAGGAGGGGTCTTTGCAGAAAAAGAAAAAGATGACTAGAAAGTGCGCATGCTTGAACACGTTCATGTTTTGTGTCTCAATTTTTGCGCCCGAAAGAAAAAGGACGAAAGCCGACGCGGAAAAAATTAAAAGAGAAATTATTCGGTGAATATACGAAGACATTAAGATATAATAAGAATCGAAGAATGATGTTTATTTCGAGCACGCGTGACAAAAAGTTGCATCATATCAAAACATAATATAGAATCAGAAACCGCGTTTGAGATAAAATAGTGCCATGATGGCCTTCAGATAGGATGTGACAAGAGAGGAGCGCAGAGGGGGAGTTTACGTCATGCTGGGAAACGCATAACAGATTCCTGTGGCGCGCATACAGCCCTTAGGCTCCAAGTTCATGCCCTCAGCCCTAGAGAGTTTACGGGGGCTCTAGAACGGTGACTCCACTAGCTTTCGCTGTGATGTGCTGGATTTTCCGCGGAGGCCTGGCATTTTTTTACAAACTTTGTCTGTTTGATGCGAGCGCAAATCAGTGTCCTTAACGCAATGAAGCTTTGTCGTTGTTTCTCTCAATGCGGAGTATATTCCTGGCATACCTGCAATTACCATGCCATATAAAGGACGTTGTTGGTAATTTTTTGTCATTAAAAAGGTGATTATTGTCTTTGTGTCACCCCTCTGCCCATCCATCGCGATCACTGTGGCCGGAAAAATTGGTCGTCTCAGTCTCTGTTGCAGCGTGAGAGAACAGTGCCACCTCCATGGCGCGAATTTGCAGAACCCTTTGTTGAAGCGTTCGCCATACTCGGTGGGAGTAGTTCAAGCGGACGCTGCTTCACTTTTCAGATGACGTATAAACATTGTGATTTAGGAGCGTGTCAAACTGCGCAGAACAGATGAATTAGGACAATACACACATTCCATATTCCACACCACTCACCTCCGTGCTCCAAACGGACATACTGACAAAGCTGTTCCCACCCTAAGTCTTGAATAGATGCATTTCTTCATCTTAGCACCTAACAGATTCGCTTACAAAAGGTCGCAGCTTTCTCCGGAAGTACGAGGCATATATGAGTAAGCCAAAAATTGCAATGTGATACGGAATAAAGGTTGCACCTTATTCTATAAGTACCACACTCTGCCAATGTGACGTAGACTCGCCCCCTCCATCACTTTTTCACAGTCAAATAGAGACCGCAATAAACTATGAAAATAAAGCGACGTGGATTTCGGTGCGTACCTTTGTCGCACGGTGCATTAATGCGGCAAACAAGAACTAGCAAGAACAACTTTTGGAACGCATTACTGTAAAAGAAGGGATAGCGAGTGCTTTCTCCAGAACAATAAGGAGGACGAAACAAACTGTGTAAAGGATTAAGAGGGGAATGGTATCAGAGCCGGGCTTAAACGGTGGAAGCTACTGTGGCAGCGTTCATTTGGGAAAACGAGGTGCTTTTGCCATCTACCGGCTGAGGCTTGACAATGGTTTATTGCACTCGAGATCACCGGCGATCGATGCGCAGCCACCAAACGCGGCAGTTCAGTCAAGCTCCGCGCATGAGATCTCTGGGCTCATATAAAACGGCCCTGATGAACAATAATGTCAACAGATGGCGACACCAGCCCTTGCGCGAGTAAAAGGCGTTACTGGGCGCCAGTATTGAATGGTAAAGTAATTTAGCGTTCTGTATCTGCGGCATGCATGTAATGAAGGGAACTTGAAATAAACCTCTGGAAGCATTGTCGTATGGAATGAAAATATTTGTTTGTTATAACAATCGTCAACGTACATGGTGCCCGCCTCAGGCGCTTCCCTCCGTAGTCAAGCACGAAAAGATAACTTGTCACCAGCAAGTTATCTCCAATTTTTATTTTTTATGTGTGCAATACAATTGCGTTTAATGGCATCCCGTATACTTTCCCTGCCATTATTTTCTGTTAGTGTTCGTTTTAAAGATAATGAAGTACATTTTTTTTAATTCGTAGGTATTCGCAGCAGCATCACAAAACGAAGCTACCTACATCACACACACTCGGCAGCAGAGCACGACGTATAAAGCGTGTACGGCCTTGTAAAAAAATTGCACTCACGTATACTACGAAATATCTGCTCTGGGCAAAAGCGTGTACATTCAGCTTATGCAAACAATATGGTTGTGCGGACTGCAGGAGTTTTATGATGAATATCATATATTAAAACCCATTTGTGGTTATAGTCACGTTATAGTAACAGAAAAGACGCTGTAACTTGACTCATTTCAGCATTACCGCTCACGGTAGGTAAAAAAAAAGAACATTCAGCATGCTAAAACACACGTGAACGTTGGGTTGCAATAGCGTGTGCTCTAGTATAACCGCAAAGCGTCGAAAAGCGTGAAATCTTACCTAAGCACAGCTCGCGCATCATTATAGAGGACGGAGTCCGGTTAGCAGCTGTAGTGTTACTTGGTGGACCGCATAGAGGCACATGATGGAAGCAGAGTGGTCCATTGTCTGCGCATTTAAAGAGGAGTCTTTAGTAGTGCATGGAAAATTCTTAAGTCTAGTGTAGCTTATATTTAGGTAGCGATTTCAGTACTACAGATTCTGCAAGATCTCGCTCTTCCCACAAGATTGTTTTTGGCTTAGAAAAAAGCTGTTTCTGTACCGGATACTTACAAATGTCTTATAAATTAAAGGAGAACTTTAGCAGCTTAGAGTGTACTCGTCTGAACATATATTCCATAGGGTTATCTGATATTTCCCGACCAAACGAAAAGCATACGAAAGCGCGCCCTAATAAGTTTCTCTTGTGTAATTTCTCACTTGCTCTAGCTCCGATCCTAAAAAGAATAGTTCGTGGGATAATGGTGTCCACCCTTTACTCACACGATCTATTTAATATGATCAGGCCCACTTTACTAAGAATAAAACGAGTAAATACCCAATTCACAGTGGTAAGCATTGAGCATCATTAAGTACAAGGGGTTAAATTAAATACAACCTGATAAGAGCTCTATGCAATACGGTAGCATCTCTTATTCCCTTAATTGCGCACTGCTTAACGCAAAATATATACCGGTTGTATTATATGTCTGGTATTTCACCGTAAGAATTGATGCACCGAAGTTAATACTGTCTGGAGGAATTGTGACAAAGATCTTCCAAAAATTATCGCACGATCTTCCACCTAGTAGTCTTTTCAAAAAATTTTGGAACACTATTTCAAGACGCCTAACTTTATTCACTCATTGTTACAGCCTTTAATGAACGCTGACTCGCCGTATGCACAAAAGATAAGTTCACTGGGCAAACACTAAACACAAAAAAGGATAATTCTTTAGAAGTTTTCATCATAGAACTTGATTCATGACATCTTCGGGAAGTCAAAAGTAATATTTAGAATCAATTGGGAACACTTTAGAGAAATGTATTCATTCTTTTTCGGGAAAGCTTCTTGAATAATTAAAAACGTGAAACACTGCGGAGGTACCAAAAACTTACAACGCTTACATTCATCTTACGCGCAGCATTGCTCATCCAACCAACAATATTTGCCTGGTTATTGGTCACTGTTAAATCAAGAAGTAAAGTTTATGTTCCATAAGAAGCATTTTCGCCCCTTTTCTGTTCTTTTCACCAGGTACTTTGTTAATATTGATCCTACGTTGAATAGTACATACTACTTAGCTGTTACTAGCC